TTGAAAACGTTGAAAAATTTTGCTCGTGACTTCTTGACAGCGACTTCTTAAAACTTGTTCTTGCAATTAGTGTTTAGGATATTTGTTCATCATTTCTCCAATTCTCCAATGATTTCGCATTTTCCTATGGCGATTTATAGCAAGACTTTCTCGAGAAGAAAAGTGTCTTCGCTTTGCTGTCTGTACTTCTTACGTATTATACGTCGAAGAACGTCTCGAGGACAAAATGAAGGACGCATTTTGAAAGCAGAGGTTTCAACATTGGAACCGATCCGAGAGCTCGTACTTTCTTTCTTCCTGTTTTTTTTTTGTTTTTAAACAGTTGTTTTTCGTAGAAACAGCTTCGACATTAATGAAAGTCCCCGTGAGTAATATTCGAACGTTTCAAGAAATTGAAGAAGATTCCGACGTCGGAAGCCTTCATTTGCTAAAACGTGCTAACTAAGTACCGCTGAATGCATAAACATCCCTTCGTGCACACAACCCTCCTCCTCCTCGTCTGGATGATTTTCCCTCCGATGTGGAAATTCAATTTCCCGGGGAAATCGTCGCAGCTGGATGTAATATTTGCAACCTTCCGCGAACTTCTTCCCCGCTTCGTTCGCCGAGCGTTTTTGCAGCAAACAAACTCGAGGTTAAACGCCGGGAATAATCGCGGCTGATTAAAATACTTGATAAACCAGCATCGCATAATATTGGTTTTTTTTTTTAAATTTTTTTTTTAAACTCGTAACTTGCTTCTCACTCACCCTCACCTTCCAGTTAATTACTCATCCTCCAGTTTTCCAAACAGAATTTTACCACATTAGCACATCCGAGCGTTTCCGATGCCGCGAGGCAGCAGCCGGAGAACTTCATCCTGGCAACTTAATCGTCGACAGGTGGGAAATAATTTGCGCGATGATGGCGCTTGCGAGATGAGGTATTCTAAACTTTAGAACATTATGTTCGAACTAGCCAGGCGCGTTCTTGCGTTTGTTGCACGCTTATTACTGATGGAGAGAAAACATTAACATTCTCGAGACGGTCGCACGATATCTTTGCAAAAGGGAATCGTACAATAATAAGCTTCGTTTCGAAGCTTGAAACCTCTCTATCTACCTCTTTTCATCTGCATCGTTTATTTTATCTCGCGA